CCCCTATCCAGGAACCACTGGTTTTGCCCCCAGCAGGAGCAATAGCACACCCCAGTCAAAGTCCCCAGCCTTGGCTGTAGTAAACAAGATGAACGTGGGCCAACAATGTGGGGATGATGTCAGGAAGGCTAATTGCATCTTGTCATGCATCCATAGATGCATCACAAGCAGGTCCAAGGAGGTGATCCTTCCCCTCCATGGGACATTGGTCAGGCCGCAGTTGGAGTACTACATCCAGTTCTGGGCGCCGCGCTTCAGGAGGGATGAGGACAGCATCAAAAGGGTCCAGAGGAGGGCCACTCGCATGATCAGGGCAGCAAGGCAGGCCCTACGAGGAGAGGCTACGGGACCTGAACCTGGTCAGCCTTCACAAGAAGGCTGAGAGGGGATCTGGCAGTCATCTACAAACTGATGAAGGGGAACCAGCAGGCAGTGGGCGAGTCCCCGTTCCCCCAAGCACTACCGGGAGTAATGAGGAATAATGGCTATAAGTAGATGGAGAATAGATTCAGGCTAGATAGCAGGAGGCACTACTTCAGTCAGGGCAGCTAGGATCCGGAACCAATTTCCAAGTAAGTGTTACTCACTCCTACCCTGGGGGCCTTCAAAAGGAGGCTAGACAGACACCTAGCCAGGGTCATTTGACCCCAGTACTCTTTCCTGCCATGGCAGGGGGTCAGACTTGATGATCCACTCAGGTCCCTTCCGGCCCTACCAACTATGAAACTGGAAGTAACACAAGATGATATAATAGAATTTGTTTTATCAATAATGGATATAAAGATCATAAAGGCCAAGGGGCTCCTGATGCTAGAGAATATGGACGGGAGGTTGGAGAAATGAGCAGGGATGTGGGATGCATAGAAATAGTGCTGGAGATATGGAGGTTGGAAGACTATCATAAGCTCTCTGTTCTTGCATAGAGAAAGAATACCCAATTACCTGTGGGGGCACATTTCTCACAAGAAAGCCACTGTCTCCAACCTCTCAGTTCTAATTCTCGAAGGGAATTTACAGATGAGCCTACAAACGTCACTTGATTAACCTACTGGATACAAAATCAAATAGACTAAATAGACATTAGATTGATGACACATTATAACCTGCCTAACATCTGACTCCCCAGGTACTTCTGGGTGGCATTTACCAGCTACATTCATTCCCCCCTCCCAACCTGTCTGTCACCCACTGACTCTTCAATTTACATCTTCCGACTGGTTTTCTTGCATGCATACCAGCCTCTGGCTTCTTTACTATTTATTTCATCCAGGAAGATGACACATCAACTGCAGATGCTTCTTCAGCCTGACAAAGGGTATTTGCACCCGAATGCTTGCAAAGAAGAATTTTTCCAGCTATCTGAGTTGGTCTAATAAGAGAGAAGAAAATTTATCCAAAAGAACCTCGTCTGTAATGGGAAAGAGGCATTTTAGGCTGCAGCGAGTAAAGGAAAACGGAACGTGAGTTTAATTAATGGAGACTTGTGCAAGAAAGGGAATTGGGGAGCAGAGAACAAATGTGTTCAGCAGCAAGTATACACTGCAGAATTAGAAATGCAACTGAGTGTAGGCACTGTGCATGGTACAAGTACAGAGGCACTGGCCCCAAGGAAGGAGATGAAAATACTCACCAGAAATAATGAAGCAATTCACCCTTCTCAGAACTAGCATTTGAGGCAGTATTCTCTCCATGGGGTGATCTCATTGAGCCAGTAGGCAGCTTGCCACCTCTGAGCCTACTCTGCTACAGATAGACGTATTAGATCCCATTCCCCATGATAATCAGATCTATACTTACAGACCCTGCATTCATGGTACCTCCAAGCTTACCCACCCCTTCTTACTTACCTGCCATGCTTTTGATGCAGTTGTTTTATTGGAAGGGAGGATGCCCAAGGATCCTAGAGCAAGGCCCAGTTTTTCTAGCTGCCAGCAGGTCCCTCCCAGACCTTTCTCTGGTCTCAATTCTGCCCCTCTTGGGCAGAGTGAGTCTTTACAACAGGCTGCAGGCTTGCAGCCTGGATCAATTAACCAGCCAGTTACAAGCTACCCACCTAAGGGGCCTCAGCTTGTTCAGGCAATCAGCCAATACTATGGGGAACAGTGGCCCCCACCCGAGAGCACCGGCACCCCCCTGCCCCCCAAGAGTCAATCGCACTCACCTGGAAGTGCCAGCAGCATACTGCTGCTACTTGCAGGTTGGCAGGATCAGTTGTAGCCCTCTCCCCCCCACCCCCCTGTCAGCAGGATTGACCATGGGGGACCCTGCCCCCAGTCGCTGACTGTCTGCTGGGTGGGGAAGGGGGGGTAGCAAGCGCTCCACCTGACTCTGGAGGCACCAGTCACCCATGAAGGGGAAGTTGACTGGTTGACCAGAAATAAAATAAAATGAAAAAGGAGGAGGCAGGAAGAGAAAGTGAGGGAAGGAGGACCTGAAGAAGGTAATGTTCATGTGGAAAGTGAGAACTCACAAGGAAGGAGGAAGAGTTCAGGGTGTGAATTAACCCATGCCCGTGGGTGTTCATTTTGGATTGTTTTATATTTTCTACTAAGCTCTGTAGTGCAGATTAACCCAGGGCTTTAAATCTTGTGTTGCTGGGACCAGATCAAAGGAGTAGTTTAAAAAGGGGTCAAGGACTGATTTCAGCCTAGGGGGTAGCAAGGCTAACCTGAACCCCACTGTGATCCTCCTGACTGCCTGTGCCACACCAGGACACTTGTAGCCTCAAGGGCTGTGTCTCCATCTGCCTTTTTTATACTACATCCATACCTCACAGGTGTTATTATGCAATCACACCCTTTTTGGGACCTCAGTCATCTTGGCCTCTACCCCTTTTCTTTTTCTGGGCCCTTTAGCTCCAGTCCACTGTACAGGACCAACCTTCTGGGTTCCAGCCCTACTTAGCCAAACTTTTGAAGCATCTGTCCCTTGCCTTTCACTCTGGATCCCTGACCTCAGAGTACACCCTTCACAGACTTCCAGGTTCTTAGGGTCTCCACCCATTGCCTCCAAGTCTGGGCCCCTGGCCCTAACTCTGCCCTTCTTTGGGATACTGGCTTTCTGGCCACAGGCTCTGCCCCTCCCTGGTCCATCACTGCCCCTTCTCAGGTTCCGAGCCTGATGGCACCCAAGTTTTGCTCCTCCCTAGCTATGGGTCCATGACCCTTGCTTCACTTTTCATGAAGCACTGGGCCCCTGATCCCAAGCTCTGCCTTGCTCCAGGCACCAAGCCTGCTCCAAATGCTAGGACTCTTGAAATCTAGACATTTTTAAATCTGAAGGTCCAGATGCCCTCCACCCAAGGGTGTTGAGGGAGCTGACAAGGGTCATCGTGGAGCCCTTGGCCCGGCCGTATGAGCATTTGTGGTCATCTGGCCAGGTGCCAGAAACTGGCTAATGAGGTCCCAATTTTCAAGAAAGGGAGGAAGGAGGACCCACGTAACTATAGGCCTGTAAGCCTCACCTCGGTGCTTGGGAAGATCTTGGAGAGAATCATCAAGGAGCACATCTGGGGGGGGTGGAAAACTCATGTTTAGGGGAAATCAGCATGGGTTCATCAGAGGCAGGTCCTGCCTGACCAACCCAATTGCTTTATGACCAAGTAACTAAATCCTTGGATGATGGTGTCGCCGTGGACGTAGTCTTTCTAGACTTTAAGAAGGCCTTTGACACCGTCTCTCACCCCATCCTCATCAATAAATTAAGTGACTGTGGCATTCATGCCTACACAGTTGGATGGGTAAAAAAATTGGCTGACGGGGTGCATCCAGAGAGTAGTGGTGGACAGGTTGTACTCAACCTGGCGAGATGTGAGCAGTGGGGTACCCCAGGGCTCGGTCCTCAGGCCCGCACCGTTTAACATCTTCATCAGCAACTTGGACGAGGAGGTGGAAAGCGTGCTGTCCAAGTTTGCTGACGACACTAAGATGTGGGGCAAGGTAGACACTTGAAGGGAGAGAGAAGCTGCAACTAGATTTAGACAGACTACAAAAGTAGGCAGATGAGAATAGGATGGGGTTCAATGTAGACAAATGCAGGGTGCTGCACCTTGGGAGAAGGAATGCACAGCATGCATACAGGCTGCTGGGGAGTTTCCCTCTTGAAAGCACAGAGGTGGAAAGGGATCTTGGAGTCATTGATTCCAAGATGAACATGAGCTACCAATGCCAGACCGCAGCCAGCAAGGCCAGCCATACCTTGTCATGCATCCAAAAGGTGCATCTCAAGCCAGTCCAGAGAGGTGATACTCCCCCTCTATGTGGCACTTGTCAGGCTGCAGTTGGAGTAATGCATCCAGTTCTGGGCGCTGCACTTCAAAAGGGATGTGGCCAGCCTGGAGAGGGTTCAGAGGAAGGCTACCTGCTTGGTAAGAGGGCAGCAAGACAAGCCCTACGAGGAGAGACTGACTGAACCTGTTCAGCCTCAGCAAGAGGAGGCTGAGCGGGGACCTGGTGGCTGCCTACAAGCTCATTAGGGGAGATCAACAGCAGATAGGTAGAGCCCTTTTCTCCCCAGCACCACCTGGGGTGACAAAGAAGAATGGTAATAAGCTGATGGAGAATAAGTCTAGGTTAGAGATCAGGAGGCAATATTTTACAGTTAGGGTGGCCAAAATCTGGAACCAACTTCCCAGGGAAGTGGTCTTTGCCCCTATCATAGGCAAGTTCAAGAGGAGGTTAGATTATCTCCTGTCTGGGGTCTTGTGAACCCAACATTCATTCCTGCCTGTGGCAGGGGGTCAGGCTAGATGATCTGTTCAGGTCCCTCCTGACCCTAGCTACTATGATACTATGATGATGACTCCTGACCCCAAGCTGCACCTTGAACATGACCCCTGGCAGGGCTCAAAGTGGTTATGTGCCTCCTGGGCACTAACAGGACCTCCAAACCACCCCATAGTCCCTTCCAAAAACCACCAGTATACAACTGTAACCCAAAATAAGCTCTCTGGCTATAAGACCAACAAATCTGATCTGGGTCCAAACATAAATAGTTGTTACCTGTTTGTAGCACCAGACTTCTCCTTGGCCACATTCCTCTGCAAAGCAGCAGCAGCATTCTGTTGACCTCCTCCAGCATAGCACCCATGCCAGTTAGGGACTGGCCTGGTCCCTCCTGCTCTAGAGCTCCTTCCACTGCAGCCCCCAGGGCCAGACTCTTAGCTTTGCTAACTGGCCAGTTCTTATATGCCCAGAAACCTGCCCCCTTCCGGTCATGTGCCCTATCAGCTAACCTACCCACAGGGCTGTTTATTAACCCCAGCCTTGTCAGCTGCCTTTATTCAGTTCACAAACACCCTTACCTTAAAGAGGCCATTCTGCTTTTTCAAAACAGGATACGGGTTCCCTGTTACAAGTCCCTATCACTGTCATATCCAAGTGCCTCTCAATCTTCGGGACATTTATCCCCACTTAATTCTGTGCCCTAGGACAGTGCTGTTATTGCCATTTATATGATGGTAGACTGGCTGAGATTACTGAGGCTATGGCTACTCTGGGATTACTTTACTGGTATAAAAACACCTGTACTAGGGTGGTGCGAGGCTTTGGACAGAGCTTCGGATCCAGAGACGCTTCAGACACTTCAGGGTCTTAAGCAGCATGTCCAGGTTGAAGCGCTGTCCTTGTTCGGCTTCCCGAATTTGTTCGGAGCTACAGAGCTTCGGATCCAGAGACGCTTCAGACACTTCAGGGTCTTAAGCAGCATGTCCAGGTTGAAGCGCTGGCCTTGTTCGGCTTCCCGAAGTGGTTCGGAGCTGCCTCGGAGATCTGGCCATAGGGTATAATGGGGAAACAATAAAATATTTATACCTTTGTTGTTTTTTTGTCCAATTTGGATGACATTTTCAGGAGTGGTAGACTCTGCAGAGAGCATGAAGCCTGCCAAGCTTCAAGAAGATAGGTGCAGGGGTTTGGGGGCAACTGCATCCCAAATTCATGAAAGCAAAACTCATGTCATGTCTAGGTGTTACAACATAGGGAGGTGAAAACTGCAGGGGTGGTAGCCTATGCTGAGGCCACAAAGCCTGACAAGTTTCAATATCAGTGCAGGGGTTTGGTGGAGAACTGCACCGCAAATTCTTGGGGCATGGGAGACACTACTGCAGGCCTGACTGCTAAGCTACTGTTACCAGTTACCAATCAATCACGATTCACTCAGGGACCAGCTCAATACACAGGACCTAGTTAATGTAGCCAGTTAATTGCCATCAATTAGCACCTACAAAACCAGACTGAGGGGAAAGAATCAATACAGACAATTAACTGCCCCAAGACAGACACCGTCAGTCCCACAAGCACCCATTGCATGAGTTTTGTCTGTCAGCAGCTAGGGGTGCAGGGCCCCAGAACCCAAAAGCCCTGCACCAATCTCCTTGACAGCTGGCAGGCATCATGGCCTCAGCAGGGGCCACCACCCCTGCAGCTGTCACCCGGCTGCGCCTTAACACACGCAGTGTCACCCATGTCACAAGTTTTTCTTGTCCGCAGCTTGAGGTGCAGTTCCACCCAAACCCCTGCACTGATCTTCTTGAAACTTAGCAGGCTTCATGCTCTCAGCAGAGGATACCATCCCTGCAAGTGTCATCCCAATTGGACAAAAAACAACTAAGTTATAGATATTTAATTGATTCCCCATTATACCCTATGGACGGATCTCTGAGGTGGCTCCGAAGCTTCGGAGCCGCTTCGGTCGGATTGAGGTGGAAACCCAGTTCGGAGCTCCAGATCGAATCACTGCCATCCAAAGAGGCCGGATCTGAAGCCAGATCGGATCACTGCTGACTCGCACAGGTCTAACCTGTACCCTAGATGGGCAAAGTGCTTCAATTATGGACATGGCTATGCCATCAAAGTGGCGCTTTGGATGCAGCCAGTAAAATCTCCTAAACTCTGAGAAAATCACACTATTTTTAAAAGTGTAACTTTGCTAGTATAACTGCATCTGCACAAGGGGCCTCTGTCAACACGGCCAGTCTGGGATTGCACTTAATTCCAGCCCCTTCAGAGCTATGCTGGCAGAAAGCTGTAGTGAGTATAGTTTGACTTGCCAAAGGTCACATTAGGAAACCTGTTGTGGAGCAAGAAATTGAACTCAGGCTTCCCAAGTGCCCAGTTCTATCTCCTGAGCCATTTCATCCCCTCTTTCAGAAATACTCTCACCCTTTCCATGATAGTCCCTATACTATTCATCTCTGCAGTTCCTCAATCTACAGATCTGGGGCTGAGGAGGAGGAAGAATTAGCCTGTGTTGCAAGGGCATTGAGATGAGAGGTGAGGTGAGTATGCAGGGGCAGTGAAGAGACTAACGTGCAGCCAGTGTATTCTATTGCCAGGAAAATCATTTTCAAGCAGCCAAGACAGTGGATGGGAAGAGCTGAGCTGGAGCACACAAGGATGATCCAATTATTTGAAAACAAGCAAAAATATCCCCCCAAAATTAAATGACCCACAGCTGAATTAACACAGATTTAAGTTTGTCCACTCTTTCAGAAGGTGGAGAGCAGCTAAAATGAAACCTCTAAAAACCAGGAAATGAAAAGCTAGTAACACACCTTTTAAAAAACAGAAAATACAAATGGGGTAGAGAAGCTAGCTGGAGTAGGAGGAAGAAGGTTGTTTTGAAAGAAGGGTGGAGTGGATGAGTAAGGGGCATGGGTGGGGAGTCCTGGCTACAGCAGAGATGTGGGTAGTGAGGGGGTAGTAGTCTGGGCCAGATTCAGTATATAGTTTAACCTATATGACCAAGAAAGTATGTGACCAAGTACTAACCTGTACTTGGTGTGCTTTGCTGTGGAGAGTTTCAGACAGCAAGGAACAAGTGTTTAGTGTGAAGTGCATTCAGAGTGCTAATGGTTTTATGGGTCTGAAAGAGGAGGGTGAGCCTAGTGGGAAAGCGATAAGTTGCAGGAAATAGTAAGGGAAAGGGATGGAGAAGGAGAAAAAATGCAATGGTTTCCACTTATATGCTTATAGTTACTGTAATGAACATTTAAAAAAAAAACAAAGTTGTTAAGATTTTTGGATGTAGATTCTCCTTTGTCCTGTCAGAACTCCACCTAGACATTTCAAAGACAAGAACAATCCCCATTCCCCTATGAAAAAGTACACACAAGAGGCTTGGAAGGAACACAGAATTCTTTAACCAACCAGAATAGCACCTCAAGCATAAACCTGAATGGTAACTGCAATTGTCTAAAAAATTGCTGGTTATCTAACTGCTGCAAAAACATTTTTCTTTAAATTAAAGGGAGGAAATTTAGCGTTGAAAACATTATTGATTGAGAGTTGATGATACCTAGCAGCATTGCATCTTTCCAGAATACTGAAGTTGTGAACAGATGTAACTTTTAAATGTTTTAAAAAGAAAGAGGGACTTTCCATCCAGGAGTGCAAATCAGCTGTTCTAATGTAACTGTTACATGGGTTTGCTCCCACAAATATGTAAGAGCCCCTTTAGATGTTCAGCTAAGGGCATAATAGGGCCTCATGCATAATCCACACAATTGCGCTTCCAGCCAGGCCACACGTGCATTACAGGAGGCATGATTGTGGGATCCAGCATCAGATCCAATTGCCAGTACACAAGAAGCCTGGAATTGTCATCCTGGGCTTCCCCCTGCACTACCAAAAAAGTACTTCCACAGCTGCAAGTCCTGTAGCAGCACCCTGAGGCCACCAGGACCGAACATCCTGCAGCTGTGGTCTCTCCATCTCGGTGGTGGCCGAGACTCTCTGTCCTGGTGGCCATGGGGCTGCCAGCAGGATGGAGAGTCCCCTCAGCTGCAGGACTCGGTCCCAGCAGTTGTGGGACTACCAGCAGGACAGAGAGTCCCTTCAGCTATGGGACTCTGGGCCCTTGCTGTGCATGGTGCACCCCTGTGGCTGGGAGCTCAGTGAGCTGACAGAGCTCCCAGCCTCAGGGACAGACCCTGCTATTCGTGCAATTTAAAGCTAGATAGTGATCAGCTATAAAGTTGGTACATATTTTGAGGTCTAACTTTATAGATGGGTTGGACCTTTTTGAGCTGTGATAGGTACTTTGCACAAGTACCTGGTCTCAGTTAATTGCGCAATTAACCAGTTAATTGCATAATACCTGAAAGTGTGAAGGAGCCCTGAGAGAACTAAATCACTGTAACTTAACCCTGAATGAACAAGGGGTAAGGTCCACCAATTTCACTCTGCTTACATGGCTACAGGAAAAGGCTTATGTAACTATTCTGTCAGAACTTCTTATAATGATATAATTTAATACTGATATAACTGTTAAAGGTGTCTGTGTGTTAAGTTCAGCAAAATGCAAAACTTGAACATCAAGAAATACAGGTATCTCAAACTAAAACATTTGAAAACCAGAAAATGGCATGTACATTTACCCTGCCTTGGTGGAATGACATCTAATAAGTCTGTAACATAAGTACTCACAATTTACCTTTGCACAATCTGCAGAAAATTCAGGACTAGGACAGATGTCCACCGCAGCACAGAATCTTCTCAATTTTAAGGCAAAAGTCTTGTTCAGTGAAGCCATACTGAGCAGGAGCTATCTACACCTGCCCTGCATTCAAATACCAAGCTCACTGCAAAGAAACACCCCCACACCTCTTGAATTTTACTATGTCCTCTCTTGCAAACTTTTGATCTTAATGCAGAAGATGCAAACTAATACAGTGCTATACTTTCATTGTCCCATCCACAGATAACAATATAAACACCTCCCTACTGACAGTGCTCAAGATAAGAGTGCCCTTATTTCTCACTTTTGACACAACTTGTATAGTACAGGATTGAATGGAGGCATACTGGATTTCTCAAGAAACAAATTCACCTCTTTGCTTTGATCACACAGGGTGCATCTATGTGAGACACTTTACTCGCAATTAGACCAACTATCTGCTCAGTAAGCATCACTGTCTACTGTGCAGATGCTTATTGAGCAGTTATCTGGTCTAATCATGAGTAAATTTGCTAGTTGTAAATACAACTGACAAATTTACTCTTGATTAATTATTGCACAGTAACGCACATGTAGATGCTGACTAGGAGCAAATTCACTTCCTGTCAGCCCCACCACCAAGGGGCCACCCTCAACCTAGCCCTGGGGC